AGGGTCCGTAGCCATTTTGGCTCAAGCAGTTGTGGCTCAAGGATTACGTGCTGCGTCACTTCGCGTCCTCTCGCGCCCCAGGTGCGAGCAGCGCGGCCCCTCGAACGCTGTGGTCCGTTTGCCAAGCATGGGGAAGAACAGAAAGCGAAATGGGAATGCTGCTGCTGGAGCACCCAGCCCTGCGGTCGCGTGGCGCCCGAAGGGGCAGCAAGCCATGGCTGATGACGACCCTTCCGTTGTCGAGAAGGCGGCCGCAGAGTTCGTGAAGGTGGTCACTTCGCAGGTGCACAGGCTCAGAGAGGAGCTCGACGCTGTTCGGCAAGCAAGAGCCAGGCTGCAGACGGAGTATGACCAGCTCGCCTGTCAGGCGGCAGCCGGCCGCGACAAGTTGCGCGACCTGTCCGAGCATTTGATGGCAATCCAAGCTGAGAAAGACGAGCTGGTAGTCCAACTTGCAGGTGCCGTGGCGAGAGGTGCCCAAAGCAGCCAGATTTCTGACCAAGCGGGCTTCAGCGGTGTGGAGTGGCGCTTCGAGGGCCACCCAGGCGAGTGGACCAGTCTACCCGCTGACCGAAGTGCTGACCTCCAGAAGCATTACCAGAATTTCTTGAAGGGCGGCGACTCCATCGTTCGAATGCGTTCGGGCGTCGAGGAGTACTCGTTCGACTTCAGCACACTGTCGCAAACGAATATCAGGACCAACAAATCCCGAGCGATCAAGGGTCATCTGCATGCCCCCAGCAACTGGACGCGGTGCGTGCATCTGGGAAACATGTTTAAGGTGACGGAATTGGAATCGGTTGAGTTGTCTGGGTTCACACTCGTGAGCGGTGCAAATGTGGACGGCACCTATGTGTTATCGAGCTTCCACACAATCAACGGTTCTCCTTGCTGGTGGCGCGCAGACGGACAATCATTCATCTACGCGTACGAAAAAAACATTGCTATTAGCCCTGTGAGTTGTGAATTCCCATCCATCCGGGCCAACATTGTCCAGGGTTATCGCTGGGCTCGGGGATGTTTTTTGTACAGAGGTGCCGCGGATCCAAGACGCACCACCAACGGTTGGTTACGTTGTGGGGAGGGGGGCTGGAAAGAATGCAGCACAGCTCAAATCGCGTCACATGGACTGTGCAGCACGCCGCCTTTAATGGAGATGGCCGTCGAGTTTACGGACACGCAGACACTCCGTGCCTTCAGCCAGCTCTTCCAGGACAGCGCGATTCATGCAGCGCACATTCACGGCGCCAGTATCTGCGACAAGTTCAAGACGAATGCGAAAGTGGTACGGGTTCTGAGGATCGAAAATTGGCACTTGTGGGCGAAGTACCAGAACCATTTGCAACAGGTGAAGGGAGACCTTTTGAAATTAGGAGTCGTGGTCGAACCTGTTGAGCCCGCTCTCCCAGCAGCGCTGAGCAATCTTCCGGACCAATGCGGATGTATGGATGTTGCAGTTGGGGAGCAGATGTTATTCCATGGCACAGATCACGAGACCGCCGCGAAGATTGCGCTCGGTGGCTTCGACTTCCGCTTGAGCAAGCCAGGCTTTTACGGGCAGGGGGCATATTTCGCAAGCCAGGCATGCAAGAGCCACCAGTACACCGGCAAATGCTTTGGCTTGCACACCATAATCCTCAGCCGCGTTGTTTTGGGCGACGTCTTCTACGCGACCAAGGTCGATAGGGAGTGCAAGAGACCGCCGCCGCGGGCGGGCACGTCGAGATGCTGCGACACCGTAGTGGCCAGGCCGGGCCCGATGCCCGGCCACCCTCATGGGGAGCAGATCCACCAAGAATTTGTCATTTTCGACAAATTCCAGGCGTACCCCGAGTTCCTCGTGCAGTACACGTGCGATGATGCCTGATGCCTCTGCGCGGGCAGGGCAAGCCTGGCGCAGAGCGTCCAGGAGCTCTGCCCACCAGGCGCAGCCGAAGCACACGGCCCCCTTATCCTCCGCAATTCCCTGCAGCGTCCTTGGGCATGCAGCGACTGGTAATGAGACCACCTGCAGCAGAGCCAAGACGATGTCCATATGGGGAGGCAGATGTAGCATTCCTGGCGGGACTTAGACTGGTCCTGTTGCCCGTAACGCCGCAGGCCCACTGGCCGCGTGAGGAGGAGAAGGATGAGGCACAGGATCACCATGTCTGTCTTTCGAATCGGGGACGCCCCTCGCGAATTCGCTGCCCCGCCCCCTGACGACGCGGCAGGGGCGCGGCCGTTCCCCTCGGGCTCACACGGCAGGGGACCCGCGCTCTTGCCAGAGGTCGCTCGAGCGCGGCATCGGAATTTGCCTCGGAGCGGCCGCCCGTCACTCTCCCAGGATGCCGCTCTGCGACGCAGGCCCGAAGCCGCACGCCGCAGCACGCGGCCGCGCAGAAAAAAAACAGAAGGCCCAAGCAAGGGAACATGAACCGAAGAATCCAGTTCTCCGCCCCCAAATGCCCCTAGGAGTCCCCACAGAGGCACCCGAGAGGCTCCAAAGAGGCTTCCCGCAGGACGGCTCCGAGACGGCCCAAGACGCGCTGAAGACGGTTCCAATACCGCCCGACGCCCTGAAGAGGGTTCCAAGACGGCCCACGAGCACGAGCAAGCGTCCAGAAGGTTCTCTAGGGGCAGTCCCGATCATGTTGCCAGAAGGCGGTCCGGGAACATGCCGTGCAGCACCCCAACCTGCCCTGGAGCCTTCCCGAGTGATCCCAGGGGAGCCAGGGACGGTTCCCCAAGCCCCCCAAAGTCCTCGAAACCTCAGGTTCGAGGGGGGGTGCGCCGTTCGGCGTCCTCGAATCCTCATTTTCCTCCTCTTCTCACCTCCCTTCCTATTTCACCACTCGAGCCCACCCCCAGCCCTCCTCCACCTGCTCTTCCTCTGCCGAAAGTACCCCGACTCGCCGAAAGATTGTTAGAAGACGCCCAAGATGGTCTCCAGACGGCCCGTGCGGCCTCCAAGGTGCCCATCGAGGCCTCCGAGACCACTCCCAAGAGGGCGTGACACACCCAAAGTTATCAATTCTTTGTCGGACAATGTGCATGCTTTTAGTATGCCTATCGGACCGTCTTCAAGCCATCTTGGACGTCTTCGAGCGCTCTTCCACCGTCTCGGAGGTCTCCTGAACCTTCTGGGGGAGCGCTTCCCAGCCTTCCGAAAGCCTCCCGAAGGCCCGCAATGAGTCCTGGACCCTCAGGGGCAAAGTGCGCACCGCGGGTTGCGGGGAGTTTGGGAAAAGTGGGAGTAGTCGTCGTCATCATTATCGTTCCCCTTCCTTTATCACCTCTCAAGCCCTTCCCATCCCCGCCGTGAGCGCGACTGGGGCTTCCTTTGGGCCCTCATGGGGGGGCCTCCCTGGGGCGTCTGTGGGCCTTGAGGCCCTCATGGGGAGCCGCGGCTGGCGCGGTAGCGGCGGAGAATGCAATCAAGGCCTCCTTCCTTGTCCTCGTCCTCCTCCTTACCCTCTGCCCGTGTTTTCTGCCATGACCTCTTTGTGGCACTTTCGGGTTGCCCATGGCCCCTGGCGAGGCCAGATACGGAACCCATCAAAACCCCATGCCACCCCGCGGCATCAAAAACCATGGCGGGCCGACAAGGCCTATAGCCTCAGAAAGTCCACCTTAATCTTACAAGTGCCCCCAGATAACGCCCAAGAAGAGCGCGAGACGGCGAGGATATGCAGGTGTTCTCTACTTCAGGCGCGCTCGCCGGGATGGGTTCAGAATTAGAGGCGGGGTGTCAGAGTGCAGAGGTTTTTCGGCAAGGGTTTTCGGGTCAGACTTTCGGGTCAGGGCGTCAGGGTTCGGGCAAAGGTGTTCGGGTCCGGGCGTGAGGCTTCGGATGCGATGCGAGGGTGGGGGCGTTCAAGCGTTAGGGCTCGTGTTGTAGGGCTCGGGTCTTCGGCGTTCGGGTTGGGGTCTTAGGGTAAGGGCGTCAGAGTAAGGGTGTTAGGGTTGGCGTGTGAGGGTGCGGGCGTTGGGCATAGGGTAGTCGCGTTGGGATTTTCGGGCGTTCGGGTGTTCGGTTCCGGCTGTCGGGCTCGGGTGCTGGTATTCGGGGATTGGGTTCGGGCGTTGGATTTTTTGTGATCAGATTTTGGTCTGAGGGTTAAGGTGTCAGGGCTCGGGTGTACGAGTTTCGGAGTTTGGATAAGGGTTACAGCAAGCGAGTGTTCGGGTTTAGGGCGTTCGGGCTCGGGTGGCCGGGTCACGGGTGTTTGGGGAACACGCCACGGAATAGGGTCCATGTCTGTTGAGACCGTCTTCGGAGCCGGCTGCAAGCTGAACGCGTGCGAAGCGTGCGCGATGGTTCTAGTGTGTATATATATATGTGTATACAGATGCACATACAGATTCCCACTCTGCATCGGAGCCGGCCGATAGCGGATCGATGAGCGCCCTTGAACCCTACCCATATTGAAGCACAGGACAAAGTTGAGTTTCTCTTGCAGCGTGTGAATTTCGTCGCCCACGGTGCAACGTACGCGGCATGGTTGGGAAGCAGGCCACAGTGCGCGCGAGGCGGCGACGTGCCGCTCTCACTTCGGCATCGCGTTTTGATGTCCTGAGTTGCGCTCCCGCTGAGGCGCGTCGCAGCGGCGCACATAGTTCGGTTTCCGATTCGTCCGTGCGGGGCCCTGCGCGAGCGGAGGAACGATGTTCTCGCCAAGAAGCGCCACGCAGATTTTGCCCGAAAGTTGCGTTCCCGCTGGATCGCCGAGCACATGCCTCGCTCGCCCAGTCGTCGGAAGCGGGAACCCCGCCCGAGAGATCAGAATGTCGCCTTCGGTTCCGCAGGCTTCGCTCGACAGTTGCGCCCCCCCTCAGGCGCAGCGCATGTTTGGCCTCACCAGTCCTGTCGGTAACTCCTGCCTCCTCCTCGTTTGGAAGTTTCTTTTTTCGCCATGCCGTCGGAAGGGGGGCCAGCGCGTGCGAGCGGGTGCCTCCCCGTGCGCTGGGATGGAGCGCGCGCCAAGGCCGATGCCCAGGCGGGGTCCGCGAGCTCGTTCAAGTTGGCCAGCTTGACTCGTGCTCCTGCTCATCACTCCTCCTCCTCCTCCTCCTCCTCCTCCTCCTCCTCGTCCTCCTCCTCCCTACTCATAGTACTCGTGTTCCTCGTCTACCATTCCCCTCCTGATCCTTCCGAGCCTCCTGACCCTCGTAGCCCTCCTCTCTCCTCTCTCTTCGTTTTAAACCTCCTCATCGTATGTTTCCCTCGTTATCCCCCCTTCATTCGTCCCGTTATGTTTCCTGTTCGTCCTTCTTATCCCAACAAATCCTTCTCAGCCGCCCCCTTTTAGTCCTCCTAGCCATTTTCCCTCCCTCCTCCTCCTCCTCCTTCTATTCCTATTCCTCCTCCTCCTCCTTTTTAACGTTGCTCGGTCCTTAGGTGTCAGCATGTGGCGTCCTTTCTCCTCATCATCCTCCTCCTCCCTCCTTTGCCTGCCTCCTTTTCTCAATCCGCCTGCTCAGCATCCTCTTGATCCGAATCTCCATCCTGCTCCGAAGCCCCCCCATCTCCAAAACCTCTTTCTGCAGTTAGTCCCATCCCCTTGAATCATCCCCATCCTCCTCCATCTCTTCGTCCTGCTCCTTATCCTCCTCTTCCTCCTAACGTCCCTCCTGGCCCTCCTCCTGATCCTCCCTCCTCCACCTCCTCCCTCTGGCCCTCCCTCCCCCCCTCCCCCTCTTCTTCTTCCCGATCCTCCCCGTCATCCTCCTACTCGTCATGTCTCGTCCCTCTTTCCCCCACCCCCCCTCCCTTTTTCTAAATTGCGCAAACCTGGATCGGATGATCGTGGCGTCTTCCCCCCCCCCTCCTCTCCTCTTTCTTTCTCTTCCCCCTACCTCCTTATTCCCCCATCAGAGCTTGCCTCTGTAGGGGACCTAGCGGATTCATATGGTTAGGCGAAGTTTGCCACCGATTTCCGCGGCCCGCCCGGTTTACTTGGTGCCTTATAGCCCTAGAGCAGTATAGCTTTATAGCCTTATAGCCCCATTTCTCAATAGCCTTTTAGCCCAATGGCCCTGTAACCCTATGGCCCTATAGCCTTATAGTCTTATAGCCCTAGAGCCCTACAGCCCTAGAGCCATACAGCTCCATAGTCCTAGAACCCCGTAGCCCTATAGCCTTATAGCCCTGTAGCCCAATAGCCCAAATGGCCCTATAGCCCAATAGCCCTACAGCCCTACATCCCCATATCCCTTCAGCCCTATAGCCCTATGGCCTTGTTGCCTTACAGCCCTATAGCCATATAGCCGTATAACCCTATAGCTCTATATGCCTACAGCCCTATAGCCTTGTAGCCCATAGCTCTATATCCCTATAGCCCTATAGCCCTATGGTCCTGTAGCCCCATAGCCCTATAGACTCGTAGCCCTATAGCCCTATAGCCCCAGAGACCCAGAGATCCATAGCCCCATAGCCCTAGAGCCCGACAGCCCTATAGCCCTATGACCCTATCGCCCTATAGCCCTATGGCCCTATAGCCCTATAGGCCTGTAGCCCTATGGCCTATGGCCCTATAGTTCCATAGCCCTATAGCCCCATAGCCCTAAAGAGACTTTGATTTGGGCTTTTCTCCGGTATCCTTATATTTCCTTTTCCCGGCGAGGTGGCCAAGCGCTACGCGAAGAGTTGGATGACGTTCGACGTCGTCGTGGTCCTGTCAGAGTGGATCCCCGTCCTCGTCACGCCGACGGCGGCCGAGTCGAGCGCACTGCGCCTCCTCCGGTCCTACTGCTGCTTCCTTCGCCATCGCCTCCGCTGTCGTCCCAAGCCTCGCGAGAGCATGGCATACACGTGCACATTCGGAGGTCCGCGCGGATTTCTTTGGGGGCCGCGCGTGCATACGCCGAGGTCTGCGGGCCATCGCCTGGAGCATAATGTGTTCAAATGTTGTTGAGCGTCTCGCGTTCGCGAACCAAATTTACCCCGAAGAGTGTCTGGAAGTTACGAACCCAGTTTCATGGTTATGTGCCTGCCCCCATGGCGGCGGCCCTGGCGCCACCCGTGGCGCGCTCCACACGCCAGGGAAAGGGTGTCCAGCTCCGACCCCAAAATCAGCGCGGGCCTCCAAAGTTGCTGCGTTTTATTTGTATATGCCCCTTCTGTTCTCGGCGTCGCCATCGCCACCGTTGTCCTCCTCTCGAGTCATCCTGCTCCTCCTCCTCGGCGTGTCTTCTGAGTAGGCCCGCGGCGTCAGTTCCTCCTCCTTCCTTTCGCCCCCAAGTCTCCCTGCTGCTTCTGCTGCTGCTCCTCCTCCGCTCCCTCCTCCTCCACCCTCTCACTCTCTCTCTCTCTCTCTCTCTCTCTCGCCTCCACCCGAGGAGGGTGAATGGGAGGGGGGAAGGGAGGAGCTGGAGGAGGTCCGCCCCTCTCGGTTTGCGCGGATCCTCCGCTTCC